CCAGGCGCTGCACACCCTGCTGCATTCCGCCCACGGGGACGTTGTCCTGTCGCTGTACCAGCCTTCCGCCCTTCCTCTCTTGGGGTTCGCTGTGTCTCTGCTCCTGGGCCTGGCAGAGCGGGAGAAAGCGAAGCAAATCAAGATCTCTGCCTTGAAGTGCCTGCAGGTCCTGGTCCTGCAGTGCGACTGCCGGGAGCACCGGCGCCTGGACGAAGACGAGGCACAGCGATGTGGGGATTTGTTTGCGTCTTTTCTGCCCGGGACTTGCATTACGCTGTCTCGGGTTATTACCGGAGACATCAAACAAGGTCACAAAACCACTGTTTCTGCCATCAGACTCTTTTATCTGATTGTTGGCTTGGTAATGGCCGATGCACAGCTAGCCAGAATCCCAAAGAATAAAGAAAAGCTGCCAGTGGAACAAAGCAGAATATCAGAGCTAATGGTCCATAGAGGACCTGACTGGAGTAAAAGTACTGCCGAAAAACTCTCCCTCCTCCTGCATAAAATGGTTGAATTTTCTTCAGTTCACCCCCACTGGAAAGTGCGACTGGAGCTGGTGGAACTGGTCCACCACTTACTGAGGAACTGCAGTCGGTCGCTGGTGAGCTCATTCAGTCACCTTTTAAAGGCCTTGGTCGGGCTGGTGAACGATGAGAGCTGCGAAGTCCAAAGCAGGTGTAAGGAGGTTCTGCAGGGCATTGCAGAGCAGAGGATCGTAGCTCAGAACAGGGCTCTTGCTGACGTCCTCTCCGAGAACCTCCACTCCCTTGCCACATCTCTTCCTCGCCTGATGAACTCTCAGGATGACACGGGCAAGGTTTCCACCTTGAGCTTGTTGCTGGGATATCTGAAGCTGCTGGGCCCCAAGATCAACATTGTCCTCAACTCTGTCTCTCACCTTCACCGTCTGTCCAAAGCGCTGATGCAAGTCCTGGAGTTGGACGTGACAGACGTGAAGATAGTGGAGGACAGACGCTGGGGCTGCGAGAGCGCCTGTAGACCTCCGGGCTCCTTGCAGCACCGTGTGCCAAAGGGCAGATGTCAGAAGAAATACTTCCGCTTCTTCACGGAGGAGAAAGTTTTCCAGCTCCTTCAGCAAGTGTGCCGTGTTCTCGGCTACTATGGGAACCTCTATTTGCTTGTGGATCACTTCCTGGGGCTGTACGGCAAGTCTGGCATGTACCGAAAGCAGGCAGCAATGGTCCTCAATGAGCTGGTTGCAGGAGCTGCTGGGATAGGGGTGGATATCCTTCTGGAAAGGGACGTTTCGCTGAACATGGATGATCTCAAAGGGTCCGTAACGTCCATTCTCGATGAATACACAGACCAGGCGAACTGGTATTTGATCACCAGCATTGATACAGAAGAAATCAGCCGTGAGCTCTCTGTGCAGCCTTCGGGACTTACTGCCCATCCAGGAGCTGCGAGCAGCAGCGTTCTCCTCCCGCCCCTGGAGCCGCACGTAACGACCCGCACCATGAACAGCAACATCTGGCAGATCTGCATCCAGCTGGAAGGCGTCGGCTGCTTCGCTGCTGTCCTCGGGAAGGAGTTCCGGCTGCTTCTGCTGTCAGCTCTCTACCCTGTGTTGGAAAAGGCCGGTGACAAGAGTCTGCTCATCAGCGAGACGGCACTGGGGACGCTGGTAGACATATGCGAGGCCTGCAGTTACGACTCTGTGCAGTGTTTGATTAATGAGAATTCTGACTACCTGGTGAATGGGATCTCCCTGAATTTGCGCCAGCTGGCACATCAGCCACATGCTTCCCAGGTCCTGGACACTATGCTGAGGCATTCAGATGCCAGCTTGCTGCCACTGGTAGAAGACGTTATCCAAGATGTCTTGTCTGCACTAGACCAGTCTTACAATAACCAGGCTTCCACTTTCCTCGGGGTCCTCCACTCAGTCATGGCAGCTTTAGGTATCTAAGTGATGTTTACTTTGCATAATTCATTCTTGCTGTCACTAAGGGTGCTTGTCTTTGACCTGTCGACTTGCCATGGGAGATTGCAAGTAGCTGAAGTACGGCAGCGATGGGAACTTTGCTTGGTGGCCCAGGTCTCAGGCAAAGATCACCAATAGCTTCCCCTCCTCACAACCAGTTTCTGTTTCTCTGGCCTGCAGACTTGCAGGAACATGGCCATTAGTGGTTGAGAAAGGGTGTGTTTACTGCTCCCGTAAATATTCTGTGGAAGCACAGGGAGTGCATTCCTTCTTAAATCAGAGTTTTAACATTCTCATAGCATCAGGGAGGTCACAGTGATGTGACAGCAGGTGCCCGATTCTGTAGTTCAGTCCCATGAGACCCGAGAGTCACGTTTGTCTCTCGGGGAGTCTGTGGCACCTTGCTGACTTGCAGGAGGGGATCGTGATTGCTCAGTGACGTGTCGGTTCCTTTTTTGCAGTCCAGTGGTTTGGATCGTCCTGCCAGGCAGGCGGCCGAGTGGCGGAGCAGGACTTTGTCCCGGGGGCAGCAGGTGGTGACGAGTCAAGAAGTGGAACGATTCTTCCTTGACTATGTCAGACAGAAGCAGATGGCAGAGGGCGATCTTCCTGACGCAGCGGATGAGGAGGCAGGTCAGTACTGTGGGGGACTGGAGAAGAGTGTGCTCAACGTGGAGTAAGGCAGTGACATCTGAGGTTTCCTTTTGTCAGATGGGGGACTTGGGACCAGGCTGAGTGCCTGGCACACTTCTGACAGTCTTGGGTCTGCTTTGAGCTGACCTTCGCTCGTGTGAGGTGCTGCTGGGTGTTCCTGCCTTGTTCTATGCGGAGAGTGAAACATTTGCAGATCAAGCCTTGTCTAGCTCTAAGACACACACACACTGTGTGTTTCCTTACCTCATAACAGGCCATTTGGGTTCAGGACCCAAAGTTTCCTCTTTCCAGGATCCTGCTGCGTTTTCCTCACCCTCTCTCGGGAATCCCTGTATCGTTTTCTACCGGCTAATGATGCCACCGCTCCCTTCTCACTTGGCCTTGGCAGGCCCTGCAGACATTAGAACCTTTTAGTCTTTACTGGGCTGTGCTGCAATCCTGACCTTTAAATACTTCATCTTTAAATACCCAGGGTTTTCATTTTTAATAAAAATCAATGGGAAATAAGTCCATGGTGAGGAGAGACTGCAAATGTCAGACCAACTGCGTTGTCCAGTCGAGGAAGCAAACCTTCCCTAGTCCCACACTCTTAACCGAACCTGACACAACTCGCAGAACTCAGGCCCGGACTTGACTGTATCAAAATACGTTAAAAAATGCCAAAAGCTGCACTTGGGAATTCGCAGAGTGGTTGTGGGTGGGTATCATGATCTCCCAGAACACCCAAGTCGTTTTCATGGCTTCAGTAATGGTTTTGTCTTCCAGATGACGTTCCCCCCCTTGCTAATCCAGAGCCAAACAGCTCTGACACAGAAGGAGAAGCTCCACTGCCAAGCCATGCTCAACTGGCCAAAGACGTGATGGAGCGGTGCATCCACTTGCTGTCGGACAGAAACCTCCGAGTGCGGCTGAAGGTTCGTGAACGCCGGGTTTGAGGGCACCGGCGGTGCCCACGAAGGGGGCTGTAGTTCGTCCACACGTGCACGATGTGCGTTGGGCTTCCTGCCGTGATGAGGTTAGCGCTGCCCTTCAGGACATACCCTCCGAGTCTGGCAAGAGAAAGGGAGACAGTTTTCTGGGAGTAGTCTGTTTTAGGGACAGCAGCCAAGCTGAACTGAATCTTACGGGTGGCTTTGTATCAGGCACCTTCCCTTGATAGTCGTGATAGTCAAGTCCTGTGCCTCAGCCTTTGGTGGAGGACGCAGAAGCGTCTTTCTCCCATCTAGGCCTCCCATCCCCCTTCCTCAGACTGTGGTGCACAGACTGATGAACGTTTCTGAAGTTGCTGGGGTGATGATAAGCAGGGCTGAAAGCCTGGGGTTTTTTTAATTATGAAAATCCTTTGAAGGTGGCCTCCTTTTAAGCTGCCAAGCGAGACAGAAGAGGCAGCAGCGAGGCAGGCGTAACCCAGATCCGAGGCAGGCGTAACCCAGATCCGCACCCCAGAGCCCCAGCACTGCCAGCTGCTCCGGCTGCCGTGCCGCAGGAGCCCGAGGGTCCCAGAGCCTGCAGGATCGGGCCCAGAGTCACACCCTGGTTCCAGCCCAGCACAAGTTACGCCACTGTGCTTCTTGTCCCTTTCTGAGCAGGTCTGTGCTCTATGCCCTGTTCTGTTACCCCAGTTCATGCTGAGGTAAAATGGTGCCCTTTTGTATTAAAACCCTTCTTTCTCCTGGCTGCCCGTGGTGGAACTGGGGATCCACCTGAATGCCTGGTGCTGCTGGCCCTGCAGTGCTCTGGCAGTCTGTTATCTATTCCTCCTGCCCAGGTCCTGGACATACTGGAGCTCTGTGTAACTGTGCTGCATCCTCACGGAAACCATCTGCTTCCCATGGCTCATCGTGTCTGGCCAGCTCTCGTCACCCGGCTGATTAGCGATGACCCTCTGGCAGTGCTCAGAGCCTTCAAGGTACAGCAGCGACTCTCTGCCAACAGCCCTCAAGCTGGTGCCCAGAAGGCAAGCAGCTCAGGCATCGCTGTGGCCCGTGAGGGAAGCACTGAGCTTGCAGAGGGATTTTGAAATGCGGTTGGGAACACAGGGCCACCACCCTGCAGTGGGTAGGCTTGTACCACTCCCACTGCAGCTTGTCGACAGACAAAACCTTGACGCTGTTCTTGGGGAAACAGCAGTGTTAGTGGTTATTGCAGGGAAGAGGGAAACAGTTGTTTTACAGCCGAAGCAGCTGTCAGAGGCATCGTATAGTGCAGCTTGCCCTTGCTGGAGCCACAGTCTCAGCGTCTCCTTTTGGAAGCCTTAGACTGAAGGGACAGGATTGTTTTGTGATTGAGGTGTTGGCAGGGGAGGGGGAGGTTAAGCAAAGCCTCGTAACGACGCTGTTAAAGAGCTCCTGGCATGGTCATGTCATTGACTGCGTTCTCTTCCTGACTCACAGGGTGGACAACAAAGCATGTTTCCAGAGGTTCCCAGCCCCAAGGCTTCCTCTGCTCTGCAGAGCGAGATTCATTTTAGAATCCGTCGGTGGGAATAAAGGAGAGTTTTGATTCCCCAGATTCAGGAAGCCACACACTAGAATTTCAGATTGCTACACAAAAACTAATTAGCTCTTCAAAAGTTCAAGGGATTATTACAATTAGCACTGTTTGGGTTTTGTTAGAAGACATCCCCAAGGAGCGCCTTCCTTCCTAAATCTCAGGACAGGGAGCCTAGTGTCAGTGTAAGCCAAATCCAACAAAACCAGCAGCTCAGTCCTGCACGCTAAGACCACGAGTTTAGAGAAGGTCCAAGAGAGAGCCATGCTCTGGGCACGTGGGCTGGCCCCGTGGATGCCTCCCTTCGCTTGCTGTAGCCAACTGGCCTCTCTGCTTGCTGGCATGCTTGTAAAGACAGGCTGTTCCCACCACAAAGGTGATTCATATTTTAATGGCGTTTTCCACCAGAGGCTCCTCCAGCAATTCCAAACAAGACTTCACAAGCTACTCTTACCTTTACTGTGCTGAGAAGAGAAGGGCAGTCCCAGGACGTTGGCCATGTGGAACTGAAGAGCAGGGTATGGCTCACTTGGCCTCTTAGTTGAGGACACACCTTCTGCTCATTATGGGAAACTGAGGCAGGTGTGGTCACATTGCTCTCAACTGCAAAAAAATTATCAAGGGAGAATGAAAGCCTTGTCCCCCGGGCTGGCGAGGACTGCTGGGCTCCTCCAGACCTCCGTGTGCACTTACCCTCTGGTAACTGGTGTTTCTGCACTAGGTGCTGTGTACTCTGGCTCAAAAGTGCGGAGACTTTCTGAGGCAGAGATTCTCCAAAGACGTCCTGCCTAAGCTGACCAGTTCCCTCCTCAGCCAAGCCCCAGCGAGTGCCAGAGCTGGGCCGGTGTACAGCCACACGCTTGCCTTCAAGCTGCAGCTGGTGGTGCTGCAGGGACTGGGTTCTCTGTGCGAGAAGTTGGACATGGGTGAGTACCAGGGAGAGCACAGGTTGTACCACATCTCTGCTCAACTTACCTCTTCTCCTTTCATCTCAGCTGACCAGGCCTGCGCTTGCTTCCCATCTTTCTGCTGCCCCATGGGATTGGTTTCCTGTTCTTCAGCCTCACTCCATTCAGGTCCTGCTGGCCTTAGTCTGTTCTCTCTGAGAGCCTTGTAGAGAGGGCTGGTCACTTTTTACTCTCCCAAGAGACAAATGGGAGAGAAGATTCCGAGCCCCTTGCGGAATCTGACTGCTCATGCACTCGTGCAGGAGAAGTGGGTGTAAAGTGGAGTGCCTGGGTTGCTGCAGCTGGGCCATGCTTTATTTTGAATTAACTGAAGAACTGGAGCCCAGATAAGACTCCTGGTTAAGCCGACTGGTTCCATTTTGAGGCCTCTCTCTGGGTGACCCTTTAAATGCAGCACGTCATGTTCTTCTACTTAATGAAACTCTCTGAAATTCTCCCAGGTTAAATTTCTGGAGCTGGCTTTGAGGAGGGAGAAGGGTTGCTGGCTAGTCGCTCTTACCTCTCTCAATGCCCTTGATTGCTTTCCTAGCTTTGCAGCGAGATGCTCAAGAGGTGAGGTCAGAAGAGCTCTGGGTCAGACGGTTCAAAGGCGCAGAAGCCACTTGCTGCCAATTTAGAGCTGATTCTGTTGGGCAGCAGCTGCTGAGTAGGTTACCTCCTATCCCTCTTTTCTGTTCCATTTCTGCAGGCGAGAGTGACCTGAATAAAGTGGCAGATGCCTGCCTGATTTACCTCAGCGCCAGGCAACCCACCAAACTGCAAGAAGCTGCCCAGAGGTAACGTCTCTTAGATGCAGGTGTATCAGGTGTACAAGTAACGCGGGGCGGGGGGAGCACGGTAACCCCTTTCCTTTCGCACCTTTCCTGTTCCTTCCTCTGGCACGTTTGAGTCCTGCACACCAGGGTCTCTCGGAGTTAACCCCTTTCTCTGGGGAAGTATCAGTTACTACCCAAAACGAGCTAGAGACGTCAGCTCACCCACGAGTTACAGCTGGCTTTCAGATTGTCTTGCAGTGCATTTGAGGACAGAGGGGGACGATGTGCTACTTGCTTTTTATTAACCGCCTGCTGTGCTGGAGTACGTGGGGCTCTTGGCCCACTGGTGGCATAAAACTGCAGAGGGGAAGACAGCTATGCAGGAGGCTGTGCCAGACATTCCCATGTATTTTATCACTTAATACCTTCTGCAGGCTGGGGGATTTACTTCTGTTATCCTTCCATTTTCCCTGGGCTCCTGTGATCACGTCAGCCCAGGCTCTGCCAGGTGGACTGGTTTGTTTGGGAAGCTGTCAGTCTTGGCACCAGTCTTGCTCTGAGAAGGCTGGAAAAGGTTAAGAGAGCACAAACAGTTCAGGTGAACACGCATCAGCTCTATGAGGCGTTGACAGACATACTTTGCTGCTTGGTGTACAAAATCCTGCTCAGCATGTTCCTGCTGTCAGGATAAGAAATCGCTGTTGTCATATGTTGTCACCTGGAAACAAGGCCAGAGATTTCGGCAGAGAAAACGAGTCCGGTTACAGAACATGGGGGTGGATAAGACATGGGGGGTGGATAAGAAAGCCTCTTATGTACTCTGTCTCTGCCAAAGGGCAGGGGTGAAGCCCCCCACTTGCCGTGTGGCCAACCCTCCCCTCCCCAGAGGAGCAGGGGCAGCTGGCACGGCGGATTCCGAGGGCCGGCTGTTGGAAGAGCTGCCCGTTGCCTTCCCCTGCGCACAGCCCTCCCGGGGCGCGGGGATTTGTGTGGCCGGGCAGCGGTGCCGAGGCTCCCCAGCCGTGCCGTGGTTTGTGTTCCTGCGCTGGCCAGAGGAGGTTTATTTTTACCGTCGTGGCTTTTATTGCGCCGCAGCAGGCGGCGGCGTTTGTTCTGCAGAGGGGCCCCTCGCCGCGGGCTCGCGTGCCCTCGGCACAATGGAGCCTTCCTCTGTGTGAGCAGCGCCGGGGCGCACGGCAGAACACCGGGGCTTAGCCAGATATTTGGAATCTTGAGCTTTGAAATCATTAACAAAGCAGTCTGAAAAGCTGTACAGTGTCCCCCGCAGCAGGGTGGGGGAGATACTGAATTGGCCTTCTGACGTCACAGGGTCGTTAGAAGCTGCATCGCGAGGCCGGCTCGCCGTTACTGGAGAAAAAGGGGCAGCGAAGTTCAGGGCAAGGAACAGCTCTTTCCTGTATGTTATTTTTATTCTGTTTTAAGGGGAAAATGCAACCCGTTACACCGCTCCCCCCCATAGCTTTGGTGCAGCATGCAGTACACATTTCACTGAACAAAGCAGGGCTCCTGTGAACAGCTGCCTCCCCTATAGCTCTGTTGGCCAGGCACGTATATGCACTGAGGCACGCGTCATGTGTGGCCTGGTACTCACCGTGCACGTGGCAGTACTTGTAGTTTGGAGGGTTTTTTTTTTATTTTTTTTCAGTTTAGTCCCATCTGATCCCTGCTCGTGGAACCTGGGTGGATCAGAGTTAAACAGGTCACAATCACTTTTAACTATAGCACACGTGATACGAGGTTTCAGCTTAGAAAAGTCAAAATTAGTTTGCACCATAACAGTCAGCCCCAGTGCCAGGATAAGAATCACTTCTCAGCCGTGCTTCAGTTTCCCTTCTCCAGCTGCTTAACCACCAGATTCCCGTAGGCTCCGCTCCTTTTCCTTGCTCTCCACGTTCTGGAAAGCAATCCTGCAAACTGACTGGGGTTGTCACAAGTAAGGCCCTTTCCCTCTGGGCAAGAGCAACGCTATCAGCCTGCTGCATGAAAAATTCTGCGTTTTAAATGCTTCTAAAAACAGACAGACCAGAACTAATCTTGGCTGCAGCACGAGTGCTGACGTATGCCACATAACTCACTTTTATCACTGCAGAAATCGTACAAGGTAAAAAGATGTTTGGAATCAGCTTGCCATATTGATTTATACTAACTGGCCTTTGCTCAGCTTTTTGGGTCCTTACTCAGCTCGTGAGTGGTGACCTGCCAAGAACAAGGTCGGGTCTTACGAAGTCAGTCGCAGCCCAGTAACTCCCTGCACTAAGTGAAGGTTCTGCAGGTATGCGAAGGGCTAAGCAGGAATTTTTGGCCGTGGTGCTGGAGCCACAAAAAGAAAAAAGAAGGGAGTTTTGGCTGTCTTCCAGGGATGTTATCATGCCCCAAGGAGGCTGCTTAATCCCATTTATGGGACCCTGTAGTTTTATTAGATGAACCAGTGGGAGTAAGTGAATTTTGTAACTGCAGCTTCATGCAATACTCAACAGGCAAAAATAGATGCTGGGAAAAAAACACGCTCCAGTATGTCTGAGGAAGAGAAAAATGGGACAATAGGCTTTATCCTAAGATGACTGCTGGGAGTATTCCAGGAGAGGAATATTGTCCAAAGCCTGGCAAGAAAAATACTGAAGGAGGAGTCTGGGAAGGCTGGGGAACACGAGATACATCTTTGCTTTCATTGAAAATAAGCCAGTGTGACTGTGGGTAGAGTGACCAGAAACACTTGAGCAGCTGAGGGGTGGTGGTGTGGGGCCAGGCAGGGGAGCAGGTGGTATAAACTGGGGGTCACAATATGCCAATCTGAGCTTCTCATCAATTTGTTAAGCTGCATCATCCCTGACAAACTTTTCACTTTGGGGAAAAAAAAAACTTTGAAGGAAAAGAGATTAAGAAATTGTCGTTGGCTTATGTCAACACATCACAAATAGTTCTGCATTTTCTCAGTTTGAAGTGACTGTTTTGAAATTTACTGTTAATTCCTAATGGACGTTTGCAGCCTGTGAAGTTTACCATTTGACCTTTCAGTCCACAGTCTGGATAGGAATGGTTTTTTTTCCAAGATGCAGAAGAAACATCCCCAGGTCTTACTGAAGCCCATGGTGAACTGTATCTAGTTAAACGTTCAGCAGAGATGCAAAAGCCAGAGAGATTTGCCCTTTTTGCCAGCCTGTTCGCTGTGCCGTGCCTTTGCTGAGGGCTTGGGAAGAGACAAGGCAACAGAGCAGCCAAACTGCTCTGTGCTAGTAGCATAGGTTGTTTAGCACAACTGAAACAAATATGAGCTAATTTTGGACCATTTTACATACCAAAGTTGATCACACACTGTACCTCTTGGTTTGATTGTGTAGTTTATTGGATCCTTATTGACAGCTGTCGTTCGCAAGCTGGGCTGAAGTACAGTAAAGCAGCCACCTGTACGAGGCAAAACTCAATAAAATGATATTTAAGTTAAAAAAAAAAAAAGCAACAACAGAAAACAAACCTGGATTAACCCCAGGATTCTTTACCATGGAAACAGGTTGCTTAGAAACTACCCCAGAGTTAGTTTGAAAATGTAAAAGTCAAGTTGTTCCTTAAGCTGCAGGGCACTCCTGGTTGTCAGGAGATAATCACAGCCCAGGCCGTTACGGGCACCAGGGGCAGGGGAGTTCTCCGGGGTTCGGCTCATCTCCTGAGGGCTGCCCTCTCCAGAGCAGCTGCCAGGGCAGAGCTTGGAGAGCAGGGTATCTTTGCTGTGAAAGTAAAGGTATATTCCTGGGGAAGTGGGAGCCAGCTGGATAGTGTGCCCTGTTCCCATGTTTAGTTCCCCGTGATGCATCTTTCATGCCCGGCCCTCTCCACCCAGCCGTAAGAACTGAGGATCATTTCTGTGCAGCTGCCCACCAGCAGCAGCACGTTGTAAGCGAGGGGACACCGCGGGGACCTGCTGTTTGCTGGCAGGCGGGCAGCCATGCCAGGCGAGCGCCAGGAGAGCGCTGGCAGCCGTGGGGCTCGGAGAGCTGGTGCAGGGGTGTCAGCAGGTGCAAGCTCTAGAGCCTGCTCCAGCCTGCCTGCCCACCCTGTGCCCCTGCCCACCCTGTACCCCTGCCCAGGCTTTACTGGCCCCTTGCGTGGGGCCAGCCCTCCCTGCTCCAGCCAGCAGAGCTGGAATGGCCGAGGGAGCGGGCAGCCCCGAGAGCTCACCTGCGTGCGGCCGTCCCCGCAGCGCAGGCACGTTGCTGGTGTGTCGCTGCCAAGCGCAGCTGTCACTGCGGAGCAGGGTCTCGCCAGGCTCCTCTGGAGCAGACTGGCACTGCAGGCACCTTCCGGAGGGGTCACTGCCAACACCTTCCCGTGGCGGCGTCTCCCTCGTTGCTGTTCGCAGCCTGGCACGGAGAGACGAGCAGGGGGTTAATGCCAGGCGGGCAAAAGCAGCAGCTTTGGCTGCTCGTGCAGTGACAGGTCGCACAGCCACAAGGTGCCCGTGAGGTGAGGGACCTTTGAGTGCCTCCAGCTCGTTTCGGCGCTTTGTCAGGTTCCCCGTGGCCCTGCACTCCCTCTCGGAGAAGAGCTTCTAAAAGGCCTTTCCGCCCGCTCTGCGTGGGAAGCGAGCTCACTTTGGGGATGAAAGTTCTTCAGGAGAAGTTTTGACAGCCATCAGGTCTGGATTTTGAGTGGCTTTTGTAGCAGGTGATCTTTGATTTTAGAGAGGGGAGTTCTGCCCTGCGCTGCTCGAGGGAACACGACAGACCTGCCCTTGATGTCCCTTCCCGTTACCTCGCCCGGCCGTTGTGCTCGCAGGCTCTGCGGGAGCACGCAGAGCTCAGCACCACGCAGGAAGAGGCCGTGCAGTGCTGGCAGGGCAGCCTGCAAATTCTGGTTTAATGTTATACGTGGCACAGCCAGAGAATTTCATACCAGCTCAGCCCAAACGCCTTCTGTGCATTAGACCCCGGCACAGACCTACCCAAGCCCGAAGGCCACCGACAGCGAGAACTGGCAGGAAGGAACGAGTAAGTGTAGGTCACACAGATCAGCCGTGTGCTCTTTGGCTTCTCAGAGCTTCCTGCTCCCAGCAGGACTGTCCCCAGCTCTGTTACAGCAGCTCACAGCTGGAGTCAGATCCCCGTCTTACCTGGGGTATTTAAATTCCAACTGAAATCCATCAACACCAAACTAAAGCCTTCAGGAAGTTGTCATTCCTCCCTTCCTCCATTCTATTGTTAAAGAAGGTTTTGGGTTTTTTTTTTTTTTAAAGAAAATCCTGCTTTGTGAAAGGTGCTCTGCAGAAGGAAGAAAATTTGGAGGCAGCTAATAAAGACTTGGGATGAGAGGAGACCTCACATAAGCAAAAGCCCTCAGTACAGCGTTCAGCTTCACCTGTGGCCCAGGCTGGACGGGAATATTTTCTGTCCAGAAATACCCTTGTTCTTACCACCTCTGGAAGGAGACAGAGGCCCAGATGGGTTGACCCTCTCACTCCCCCAAAACAAGAGAGGGTGTTGAACAACATAGCCAGCTTCCTCGAAGAGCTCTGCAGGAGCAGCTGTGCAGAGCACGCCCGGTGTGAGCAGCCCCTGCGATGCTCCGCAGCCTGGGGACAGGCTGAGCTCGAAAGGCTTTTGCCAGCAGCAGCCCCTGGTGCTGGGAGCAGCCCAGGGCCGTGGGCCGTCCTTCACCAGCTGCTTGTCTGGTGCCGATACTGAGTGTGTATCGTAACAACCGTTCTTGTCACACTTGGCCGGTGGAGTGACACCACCGCACTGCCTTCTCCTGGGCTCAGGGGCCAGGGAACGGCGCTCTCTAACGAGCCTCCGGTCTGCTCAGCTGTCCGAGGCTGCGGGCAGCATCGAAGCTCTCTGGTGACGACCCTGTTGGGTGCCCATCAAAGGGCCTTCTCCTCACTCTGCTTTCTTTTCTTCCTACTGTTTCCCAAAGTGTTTTCCTCCACTTAATGGACATGGACCCTGACAGCACCTGGCTCCTCCTGAACGAGGTCTGCTGCCCGGAGCGGTACGAGCCGCCCCACGCCAGCCTGCGGCCCGTGGAGCTGAGCGGGGTGGGGAGGCAGCGGAACGAGTTCACCGACAACGTGCTGTTCCTGCTGGGGAGGCTGCGGCTGCGGGAGAGCGGGACGCTGCGGGCTGGCACGCAGGAGGCATCTCCCCCCTGACAGACCCACGCCGCGGCTGGGAGAGGAAAGAGGAACCACCGGGATAGAGCTCACCTGGGAAAATCCCGTCAGGTGGGCCCCGAGTCATTCCAGAGGCAAAGGAAGGATCAGCCACTCCAGGGTACTGCCGGAGACACCTTCCCCATGGGCAGAAGTTTATTTTTTTTTAAATGATGTTTGAGGACGAGGTGGGTACATTGACCCAGTTCCTCCGGACTTGTACTTCTCTGCACTCGGTGCTGGGGAGAGGTCCAGGGGCCAGAGCACATCTGTTTCAGGTTCTTCAGTACTGAGAGGGTCATTTTCCAGAAATGACTTCCCAGCACTGGATCTCTGGGTGATGCCCCTTCAGCGCCCCCACACACCGCTCCTCACAACTGTGATACTCCCTCCCATTCCCAGCCAGACGATTGCCAACTCAAAAGAAAAGCTTTTTCTGGCCTTAACCCTTCCGAGGGAGAGCACCCCGTTTGGTGTGCGTCAAAAACCTTTTCTTTTTAAAACCAGTTAATATCAGAAAAAGTTAAAATGCATTTCCAATAAACTCCTCACCAGTATTACTGGGGAGAACATCTCCTCTTAGGAACGTGGAGGCTGTTCCTTACAGTTTGCTAAGACTGGCCGAATGCCTTGTGCTCCCCAATTCTCACCAAGTGCAAGACATTCTTCAGGAGAAGAGCCAGCCCTGATTTACAACTCACAAGTGATTTAAGGCTGCTCCTCCTTCCCAGATTGCCTGCTGTTCTCCCAGGCCATTTCTTAGACCTCTCAGATTTCCAACACCCACCCCAAGGAGAATTAGATGAAGTGTCTCCCCGTGCCCCCGTACAGCCTCCCAGGCGGGTGCGTGCGTGGGAGCACGGCGGTACCACGGCAGTGCCGCGGTTTGCTTGAGCAGGTATAACATGGTGAGCAGAGAGGGCAACGAGTCTTTGGGGCCTGCTCGCTGCCCCTGCCAACGGGCCCCCCCTCCAGAACACGGCACGGGCTCACCGCTCACCCGGGAGCTGCTGTAGCGTCCTCCAGCTCCTGAGTCCGCCAGGCTCCGTCCCCAGAGACGTTCAGCTGGTGGTGCTTTACGTGGCTGCTCCCAGACCACGTGTCCCCTGGGTTCATCAGCGTCACCTGGAGCAGCAGCTGGCAGCCGCTTGGGAAAGTTTCATGCTGTAAAGCGAAGGGGCAGCTCTTGGCTGTAAATTTGGAAGCAAGTGCAGAAACGTGAAAACCAAAGCAATAAACATTGTTACGTGGAACAGGCTTCGCGTGTCACTGTCAGGGATCCTGGGCCAGCGTCCAAAACGTGCACCAACTCTTGGGACCAAGGGGCTGCTGCTGATGCCCACAGCTGAGGTCACCTCCCCTTGTCTCCTTGGTTCTGTTGAGGCTTCGCTCCTGGTTGCTTCTCCTGGGAAAACGCAAGTCAGTGGCTTTTTACCATGTAGGGCAGGGCTGCAGTTCAGCTTTTACCCTCTTTTGCTTTTTTTAACGTACATTCAGTGCTTCACCCTCGGTTGGGTTTTGTGCCACGGAACCCTTCAGAGTTGATCTGACAGGGGACGACAGGAGAGGCAGGAAGGTGAAGTATTACCTTTGGTCTCCAGAGCACCCGGGGGTTAGTGCAGAATTTTCTGGATTGTTGTAGCGCTTGATAAAACTCATCCATCAGGTGCACAGGCGGCATCCTGCCCGTCTCTGCCTCGCCTTCGGCGCTGGCTGGAGCTCGCAGGTGACGCATCGGCAGCACCGTGATGGTGCTCCTGCCCAAACCATCTGTTCTGGTCTCCTCTGCCCACTGCCTGTCCCTGCCCTCTCTGCAGCCGGTGGAATGGGGCTGCCAGGGGCCTGTCACGGGCTGCGGCTCTTGCCAGGGGGGTACCAGCAAAACACTGACATGGGAAACCCGTGCCATCTTCCTGCAGCTTGGTATCAGCCCCCAAACCAGCCTGGTGGGAAGCAGCAGCTGCAGGCGGAGAAGTGATTTATCTGTGCGGCTCGAATCGGTCACCTCTGGGACGCAGGAGCGGCCCGGCGGTGCGGGACTCGCCGCAGCTGGGACGCGCGAGCAGCCGTCTGGTGTGGGGGCTGGGGGGCCCTCG